TTTCTCTCTCTCTCTCTCTCTCTCTCTCTCTCTCTCTCTCTCTCTCTCTCTCTCTCTCTCTCTCTCTCTCTAACTTTCGTTCACTTTCTCCATCTCTCCCTCAATGTATGCACTCTATATTAGTATGGTTTTGTGCAAAGCTAGTACTTATCCAAGTTAATCAGAAAATTTGCGGATGTGCGGTCTCTTTCTCTTTCACGTGTTTCATTGATGCTTCCCTGCAAGGATGTAGAAATCTACGCGGTTTGTCGTTGTTTCGTGAATCGTCGCGTGACTGAGAAGATATAGAGAAAACGAGCGCAATTGTCAGGAAAACCGATCAATCTTTCGACTTGAAAATTACGATACAAACAATCGCCGGATATTTTACCCGTGGGAGTAGCACAGCAGATGTGCAGCTGTTTTTTTCAACGTGCTCACATACTTCATATAGCTGTTTCATTGTCAGTAGGAAACAGCCGCAGGTCGTATAATGTTATAATCTCAATCGCACAAGCTGCTTCGTTAGTTTCTACCATTCAAATGACAACGGCCAGTGATAAGCATTATTTAAAAAAATATTAGTAATTATTTTTTAGTAGTAGTTGAATATTTTTTAAAGCGATTCGTTGATTCGTTCATGATCTAATTATATGCTCTCATTCTATGCCTCAATTAGTTTATTATGAATCAGTTGAATTTCAATCATCCGTATATTGACCCGTGGATCACCATGTGTGTGCGCGTGCGTGCGTGGAGCGTATAGTACCGCACGCGAACACGAACATGGTTTACACGCGCGATGACGCCGTTATAACATCTCTCTTCCCTCTCTCCACCCACCTCTCCCGCAGGCGCGTCGGCGGGACACTGCCGACGACAACAGCACGTGTCACATGTCGCTCGACATGTCCGAAATCGACGAGGCGCTCACCGACGTGCCGGACATCGACTCGTGTCAGGGCATCCTCGCGCGACAGGCCAAGCGCAAGCTCGACCGCGAGGACTCCGGCATCCACACGATGTCGTTCCGCAGCGGCAGCAATCGCATTAACCACGAGAGCGACAGCGAGACGTCCGAGTACCTGCTCGCGATGGCAGCGCCGCAGCTGCCGCCGGCCGCCGACACCGAGGTGCGCACATATCGGTTCCGGTCGCCGCGCGCCGACGCCGTCGGCAGGTCGCACGACTACCTCGAGCTGACGTCGGCCGGGCCGCTCGACGAGATCGACGAGTCGGCCGAGGATCGTCGGCGCAGCGACGACCACTACCGCGTCGACAACGGCGTCTCGCTCGCCGGGCTGTTCTCGTCGACGATTCCCACCGCGCCGAACGCGAAGACGACGAAGCTCGACCTTCCGCTGACCTTCGAGAACACGCGTGCGATACGCGGCGTGCCGCCGCCGCCGACGTCGTCGTCGCGCGGTAAGCCCGCCAAGGGCAGCGCGATCGCGGCGCTGTGCGCGCGCACGATACCGGACGAGGTGAAGAAGCAGAGACGCGAGAAGCTGTGCAAAAATCTCGATCGCATCCAGTCGGAGCTGAACAGGCTGGAGGACACGGTGACGTACGTGTGACGACACGGTGACGTGCGTGTGACGACACGGCGACGTACGTGTGACGACGCGGTGACGTGCGTGTGACGACGCGGTGACGTGCGTGTGACGACGCGGTGACGTGCGTGTGACGACGCGGTGACGTACGTGTGACGACGCGGTGACGTACGTGTGACGACACGGTGACGTGCGTGTGACGACACAGTGACGTATGCGTGACCACACGCGGATGTATGAGCGATAACATGCAGATAGAGGTGTGGTAACACACGGTCACACGTGTGTGATATCAGCTTAGTGGACACTATGACGTGAGCGCGAACATACACACACAAGTACAATTAGTTGACGCAGTGAAGTACGTATTATAAGACATGGTCGTGAACCTGACATCACATTGATTGACAGCGTGACGTACTTAATGATGACGCACGGACATAAGTGTGACACTATTGGTTGACACAGTGACGCATACTAGTATGCGATAGCAAACACACAACCCATTGGTCAGTGAATACAGTATTGCACATGCATGTAATAATACGCGACCATGAGTATAACCGGGAAAAAAATTAGTATGTTAATGTACTGCTGGTATGGGGAGTACATTTACGCGTTAACTTGCTCTCCTAATGTGATGCCTCTTTGACACAATGTTGGCAGAGGGTATAGAGCAACATAGTGACACAATGACACAATGACACAGTGTCTATCGTACACCCACCGTCGCATCGTAAAACACATCAATACCTATGAGATAAACACCGACATCGTCCGTAAACTATCCTGTAGCACGCGTCCCCCAGGTGTAGAGAGCAATGAACCTTAATTGAGATGAGATTTTGACAGGTGGCCGTGGATTGATGCGGGCCGCGCTACACCTCGTGTAATTTCCCCTATACGAGTAAAACCACTTCGCCGAGATCGTGTGATGAGAAAGATAGCATTCGATGCGGACAGATGATGCAGGCAACGTTGGTTTCGTCCAAATTCGTAAGCGAGATGTGAGAAAAATCCGAAGTGAAAACACCGAGTGCAAAAAACAGCAGGCAAACTTTGCTGTACACGACACTGCGGGGCGGGGCATCGTTAATGAATCGAGTGTGCTGTCCGTGCATCGGCAATCGAGACAACAATTTCGGGGGGAAAGGCTGAGATTGGTTGTGAAGCCCTATCAGTGTGTGTATATGTGCGTGCGTGTGTATGCGTGCGCACTCGAGACCGACACAGTTGCTGCAAAATTCGTATTTAGTCAGTCTCGCGGGGAGATGTAAGGAGCGGTTTTCTGACTCGGTGAATTACCCGTGGCGTCCAACAAAAAACCCCTTCATTATTTCATCCTGCTTCATATATCCGTCGCTCTGCTTTCTACTTTTCCACGTATGCAGTATTAGGCAGTACAGAATAATTATTTACAAATAAATTCCGTAGCATTAGTATGCTTCCTCGGAACGCACCATCTCTGCCTATTAACATCCCAGCTCCCCTCCCCCCGTACTAATACCCTGCGATGAACATTTGTTCACACTCAGTTAGATTTAACAGTCAGAAATTGTCTCGCCTCTAGCGGTCGTCATCTCACGAACGTGTGCGCATTTTTAAACGTATATGAGCGGATAGGTTGCTATACGGTTAAAAAGCGCACAAACCTTATGTTTTCGTCTCTTTCACTGCGGACTGCAACGAGACGTTTCGCCTCGCTCTGTGTTTCACATCAGCGGTCACGTGGCCAAGCGTACCCGTATTATTGCCGCGTTTTATAATCACGCCCAAGCATTGTAAGACCGAAGATTTGATTAGACGAATTCTTCCATTTATCAGCCGAATGATGTCCTTGTACATATTTCGGTTGACGTATAGTGGTAGCCTAGCATATATTTAGTTGCTTTTGTTTGGTAAATCAAGGATGGAAAGCCTATACTAGTATCTACTGGTATGTTGCGTAAATGCAGATTTGAAATACAAATTTGCGTCGACGCAGCTAAACAAAGCGAGGAGAAGGGTTAGGAATGCGAACTAAGTGCAAATGACTTAGAAGCATCCGCAGACACTAAACTGAGAGACGTTATAAGAAGCCGGATCGCTCACTCAAATCATTTCACTGGGGCGTCTCCACCATCGGTGTTTGCCTCACCATCGGAGGAGAGAGTCATTCGATCGTTTCACTGGGTAGACATTTTATTGGACATGCCACGTGTTGTCTGCCTGTGCGTCGCAGCGACAAGACACTCCGTGTAGCTAGCTGAACGAACGAATAGCAATTGAGCTATCCGCCTGGGGTGATTGACAGGTAGGTCTAGCCAGTCCGCGTTGCGATAGAAACGTTCTAAAAACGCGGCTTAGTGATGAAGTGCCACGGAGTCAACAAGGTGGCGCGCACGCGTAAGAAAATACATGGATACTGGTCTAGTTTGACCGACCTAGCAACAATATCAAAGGCGGTGGGCGTGGTCATCTCATTGAGGCTGATAGGTCAATTGTATCTTATTACCGCGTTCGTGTAACATGTCCCCCCTTACATGATTCCACTATGCACAGGCGCTGTTGGAACCTTATACATAAAGCAATCCCTCACATTTAAGATGATCTACCGATTTTGTAAGTAGGAGCATCGCAAGGCACGCACCTGTATATAAGAACGCACTTGAGCTCTCTCTCTCTCACGCCTAGACAGGTGCTAAAGACGAGAACATATATATATATATATATATATATATATATATATATATATATACCTGTCGTGTACAAATGTCCCCCCGTTTACTGTTCCCAGTTTCTTACTTTTTTGACATGAATAAAACATGGTTGCCATGTAAACACACCAGCTGGCTTGCGTTCTTCTTTCATTTTACAATAGTTTTGAAATTTCTCTTCATTTTACAATAGTTTTGATTCTTCATTCATTTAACAATAGATTTGATGCGTGGCTTGGGAATATGTTACATCTAGTTTCATTCGTTAACAAATTTTGCGCATTAATTGAGAGTAACATCTTACAGTAGAACGATGGAATGACAGAGAAGCAGCTTTGCCTGTCTAACAGCAACAGAAATCATATGATACAGTTGAACCGTTTTCAAGCCGGTTAAATGCAGTATAAAACGTCTGTGAAATGTTGAAAGTCTGTGAAAAGTCACAACTGATTATAATGCGTGTAACGAAACATACTGCAATCTCAGTAAATCTACGAACAAATGAAAAATAAGAATACAATTCAACAACTTACAACTCACATTTAATAGTTACATGACACGGCAATATTGCTTATAATGTTATGGGAGATAACTCGCTGCTTCACCTATCGTAACCCAAGTTTACACGCAGGTCATGCATACAGATGCCATCGCACCGTGCTCCAATATACTACCGCACCTAGTCTGCTACTAATAACCATCTTGAGCTTATTATTACAAAAGCCCGCACATTTTCACTTTAACACAGGGGAAAATGTTGGCTCCTGATCATTGCAAGTTTAAACACAAGTGGGTCTGCCACACCTATCTACGTACTTTCCCCTTTATATTCATACAGAATCAGTGAATAAAACTGCTGACGTAATTTCCCTAAACGATTCATGATCAACAGACAACGATTTTCTGAGCTATCACAAGGTGCTATCAGTCGAGTCATCTACATCGTAACCATACAAACGTCAGTAAAATCAGGGCAAACAAAGCGTTTTCAATTCTTCCATGACTGTAGAGTATCAGGCATCGGTAATTGCACCTGGCCTATCATGCCACCCTTGCCTTCCTGTGGTGTGGCGCTTACGATCACCTACCCTCTTCACACAACCTAGCCGAGTAACGAAACGTTGGCCTTGCCCAACCTCTCAACCACCGCCTGCAGCCACGCGACCTCTTGCTAAGTCCATACCCCCTGCTTGCCCACCCTTTAAATTGACTACGTCACGAATTTTCTATGGTAAAATTTGTAAAATTTTTGTTGCCATTTTTTTACATTAAAAGTAAGAACTAACGGGACTAAACGTATCGTCAAATTCTTACCTGATAAAATTGTTTCTCAACTAGTTAAAAATCCAAAAAACCTGGACGATTTGATATTGTCTTCCTGACATTAATTGCTTGCTATGGGCTATGTATGAGTCCTGAGTGTATGTTCACATCGAACAATATAGTAAAATAAGAAGTATAATGCAGCAATTTAACCATAAAAAGTGAACAGAATTACTTATATTTTGTGAAAAAGTGGAGAAAAAAATTTAATTTTTACCATTTACGGTGACGTAATCACTTTAACTACAATCCCCTCCTGCTTGACCAACCTCCAACTACCATCCCCTTATGCAGGGCTTCCTCCCAACTGCCACCTGTGCTGCAGACTCCCCACCCCTTGACTTTGCGCTCTCATACCCGACTCTCTGCCGACTATTATTCGCTCATTTCCTACTGGCGTGTCTGCTGCAGTCGCTCGATTTGATCGGGATGCTTGGGACAGCCGCTCGTCATCACCTCCGCAACGTTGTCCGTTATCAACACGTCGTCCTCAATCCGGATTCCGATTCCGCGGAACTCCTCCGGTGCATTCTGGTCTTTTTCGGGTACGTAGATGCCTGCGGTGGGAAGTGGTAATGCAGTGAGTGGCAAAGTTCTGTGCGAAGCGAGAAGTACTTGTGTTTGTATGAAGGTTATGTGCGCAGTCGTAATCCGTTAAAAACAGTAACATGGAGTAGTGACCTTCCTCTTTTCATTTCTTTTCTGTTTTCCTCTCTCTCAGCCTCCGTCTCTCTCTCTCTCTCTCTCTCTATATATATATATATATCACTCTCACTCCCCTTCTCTCTCTCTTTCTTTTTCTCTCTCCGCCCTCTCCCTCTCCCTCTCTCTGAACCATACAAGAATTGTAGGTGAATCATGGTTTGAATCAAAAAGCAAAGATACTCTGTGCATACAGACAGTGCTAACGTTTACCTCACGTATATTACATTCCAGGGGCCCACTGTCAGGAATATCATGAACAGTTGTGAGTATCCTAAGTCTAGGATATCATACATTTTGTTCACGTGTGCTCAACACATATTTTGCGTGCAACAGTTGCCACGTCCATTGATGCTATATATGATGCTTCTGACAACAGCCCACCCCCCTCAGGACTCGACCATAGACCGGATTGCATTAGCACCGACCTGGCTCTATCGTTATCACCATTCCCGGCTCTAGCGGAATACTCCGGGGGATGTCGCTGCAGTCGTGAATGTCCATGCCGAGATAGTGGCTCAGATGATGCGGACAGTACGGATACATTGCCTGCAACACGCGGAATCTCTCTCACTCAATCCATCCGCAACAAAACGTCCGCAATAAACACATTAAAATAATTCTAAAATATAATACAATATATATAACGAATAATGCAACACATATCAATATCACGCACATAAATATGATAATATGAATGTGTAACTTCTCGTGGTACGGAATCACGTGTAAACACGTGTCAGTAGTCTTCCCTAGAGGTGGCCACGGCTGGACGTTGTACTTACCTTGAGCAGGTCATTGCCACTGAGGTCACGTGCGAGGATCCCTAGTTGTTTGAGCTTCTCTCCCGTCATCAGGCACATCTCCTTGTAGAGGGAGTCAAGAGAGACTCCCGGCGTGCAGAGGTTCAGACAAGACTTCTGCACCTCCAGCACAGCTTCGTACAGACTGAGCTGAGGCTCACTGAATGATCCTACGACACACAGAAACGTGGAGGTTATCTAAATATGCTACATCGTTAATTTTATTATATATGTTAATTATTAATAACAAAGTTATATAAATTTATTTTAACTGCTATATTAAAATTGCAATTTATTTTAAAAATTTATGTTTAAATTTATCGTATATTATTTTTTACGTTTTTTTTATTTTCTTATTTATTTATTTAAACATTGTTCTCCCCATGTATGGGCCCTGATGTTGATATGCAATACAAACCACTACAGTACACTTAACACTCCAAATTTCATAGACTATTACAATTGCCTGTAGAGTTCCGAGCACATATAAATTTCCTATCATTATTTAAATCACTTTTAACTAAAAAACTTCACCTTTTTATAAAGCTTAACGTTAAACGGACCAAATCATTTGCTTTTACTGCTAGGCAGATTTCACATTATTGGAAAGTATTTAGCCCACATGAATTGATTGACCTTGGATCAAATTAGGTAAGCTGGTAGCTTTGAAACATTGTGATTCACAAATTACTAACTTACTAGATCGCCAGTAAGAAGTTTAAGAAAAGAAACGTTTTTGTGTGTGTTATTTGACATTCGTGGGGCTTTAACCAGACAAAAGACATGCAAGGCACGTGTGGGCTGTCCCTTTGGTAAAATTACATAGATATCAGGAGTTAATAAAAGACAAATTTGTCTTTTATTAACTCCTGATAGATATCTAAAATAACAATGCGTACATACATCAAACTGTGAAGCAAATAAACTCACCAGAGATCGGCCATGTGCGCGTTAGATCACTGTTGTACCCAAACAATTCGCACCCACCATCCATGAGTACTAGCTGCCCATCCTGTATCAACTGCAAACACAAAGACAACCAGTTAAGTTTCATGCAAGATTGGATATGTACAATCTGTAAAGCCCCGGACACACTAGGCGATTTTCACCGGCGACTCAGTCGGGCGACTCAATCGCTGGTGAAAATCTCCTAATGTGTGCAGTCAGTCGCCGCCGATTTTCGAGTCGGGCGACTGAGTTGCCCGAATCAAACATGTTTGATCAAATCGGGCGATTATTTCAGTCGCGCGACTACAATCGCCTAGTGTGTCCGGGTTGGCAAATGAGTCGCCCGAATGTACAATTCATTAGCCAATCAAACGGTGCCATTTTCAATCATGTGACTATCAATCTAGGTGGCGCGAGTGCTTTAGTGTTGCAGCGGGAGAAAAATCGCCGATGAATCGCGCTGATATTCGCCTAGTGTGTCCACTCAGTTGCCCGACTCATTCGCCGGCGACTCAGTCGCGCGACTCACTCGCCTGAAAAATCGCCTAGTGTGTCCGGGGCTTAAGACAGGGCATGCATAAAACTGCAGAATTAAACTCAATGGAAATGCACAGAGAGTCATAGTTTGAATAAAATGGCATAGTTCAACCATCTACCCGATTGATTTTTAACAGATAATGTTGGCACTATATATTGCTTTACTATACTATATAGCAGTGTTTCCCCTGCATTAACACGAGCGAGGCAGGCCGCCTCGCTTAAATTCTCAGCCGCCACGCAGAAATTTGTCCAAAACACTGCCTCGCTGATGAAAATCACTGTTCTTCCATAGAACAGTGATTATAATGCACCAATATAGCTTAGAATGCACCAAATTGCACCATTTTTTCACAAATTTTAGCAGCACCGGGGGTGCTCGCTTTGCTAGAACCTCGAAACGCGCAAACACACACACAATGAAAGTGTCAATGACACTGTAGCTCACCACAAAAAAAGGACACAAATGAGTGAGTAAGAAGAAGTCAGTTTTAAGTGAGCAACCATCGACGTACATTATAGAAACGATTGCCATCATTATATCGTAATAATAATTTATAAACCAAAATGAATCACAATTTGTGACTGTAGATGGCGCTACACCCGCTTTGTAGCGATGGCATTTGAAATAAATAGGTTATGCTGCGTTCCGACATGTTTTGTAAATCTTTACTCTAATATAAACGTTTTATCGGCAGGGTGGAAAGGAAATACCAATTTTGCATTAAAGATATTGTCAATGAAATCTTGTAAAACGAACCAGACACGAGTGTGACACCACAGACTGTTTGTGTTTATATAATATGCTATATAATTGCCAAACCCTACCTAATTTGCATAATTTTTTTTTAAATATCAAAACCCGTAGCCCTTTTTCATTCACATACAAAAAATGAGCAAAATCCGTTGAACCTGAACTGACTAATGGCAATTTTCATTTTTCCCAAAAAATCGCCGTGGCTCGAAAGTACGCCGACTGCCGTGTTCCAAAATAGGACGTTCCATATGGGAGCATAGCAGTAACAACTACACCCAATTTCAAACATGTGGGTCAAACGGTTCTAGAGTTATCGTTGACCGAAACCAAATGTTGACGGACGGACGGACGGACGGACGGACGGACGTACGACAGAAGACGACCCATGGCAATAGCTCAGCTTGACGATGTCAAGATGAGCTAAAAATTTACCACCTCCCAGACTTCTCTGGCCAGGGGAAGCACTGCTATATAGTACAACATACAGTGCTATTTAGTTCAACCATCTACCTGATTGTTGTTAATGTAATGGATTGTGTTGGCACGGTTTCCGCCAGCTACGACTGGTGGATATGCAAGATAGTTGGCACCTCTAATCTTACATTCATACTCCATCTTGGCCCACAGGAAATGTTCGTCCACCTGCCGGGGAATATTTACAAAACGCTATTACAAAATCTGTACACATTCACAACGTTTACATGTAATCCCAATTTGCCAGCAGAACACCACACTTGGATGACAATGGGACTTTTTTTGGATTGATCCGGATCAAGTGATCCCTAATGAATCAAACATACCCAAAATTGCATCCTCTCACCAACTTCCACACACAACCTCATGCCATGAGCAAAACTATGATTGGATGAACACGGTGGATTACTGACAAGATGTAGCATGATGAGCAAGATAAAAATTTCTGAACTCCCTGAAATAGTAATAAATTAAGACAATACTACATTCAATATTATTGGCCTTTGGATAGTTTGACAATTCAATGGTATATACATATTCACACGTATATCACCCCACCGAGATTTCTCAACAGATTGCATTGATCACAAAACGGATAAATTTGAAAACTAACATCCTGGAAATCGGTGAAAGATAACTGGAGCCACAGAAGACCTATGCCCTAATTCAATAGCGCCCTGGAGCCGCCCGTTGACCACACACTGCAAATACCAACTGCCCGCTGCCTGCACGCTCCCCTGCCCACTGCCTGTATGCTCCCACCGCCCGCTGCCTGCATGCTTCCCCTGCCTGCTGCCTGCATGCTCCCCCCTGCCTGCTGCCTGCATGCTCCCCCTGCCCGCTGCCTGCATGCTCCCACCACCTGTTGCCTGCATGCTCCCACTGCCTGCTGCCTGCATGCTCCCACTGCCCGCTGCCTGCATGCTCCCCCTGCCCGCTGCCTGCATGCTCCCACCGCCCGCTGCCTGCATGCTCCCCCTGCCCGCTGCCTGCATGCTCCCCCTGCCCGCTGCCTGCATGCTCCCCCTGCCCGCTGCTGCACCTCTCTTCGCCTGCCCACACTGCCTGCACCTCCCACGACCGCCCACGCCTGACCTCACCCTGCCCACTGCCTGCATCTCCTCCTGCCCCTGCTTCACGCTCCCAGTCCGCCCGCCTCACGCTCCCAGCGCCCGTGCTGCATGCCCCTCCAACTTAGCTATGCCGGCACTCGCTGCCTGCATGCTCCCAACCGACCTTGTTGCCCCATTGCCCCCTGCTGCCCGCTGCCGTAGCCATGCTTCCCACTGCCCGCTGCCCTGCATGCCCCGACTGCCGCTGCCTGTCATGCTCCCCCTGCCCCTCCTCATACTCAACTGCCCCTGCCTGCTATCTCCTCTCTGCCCACTGCCTGGCATGCTCCCCCTGCCTGCTGCTTACAACCCCGCGCCCCATCCGCGCCTCATGCTCCCGCTGCCCGCTCCTGCATGCCTCCCCAGGCCCGCTGCCCTGCATGGCGTCCCACCCGCTGCCTCACTCCCACCCGCTGCCGTGCATGCTCCCCCTCCCGCTGCCGTGCATTCTTCCCCCTGCCCCTGCCTGCATCTCCCGCGCTGCCCGCTGCCTAGCAATCTCCCATCCGCCCGCCTGCATCTTATGCTCTCCTGCCCACTGCCTGCATGCTCCCCGCTGCCCGCTGCCTGCATGCTGCCCACGCCCGCTGCTTACACCTCCCCTGCCCACCTGCCGCAGCTCCCGCCCGGCTCCCGCTGCCTGCATGCTCCTCCCTGCCCTGCCTGCATGCTCCCACTCGCCACACGCGCGTGTACACGCTCCCAGCCGCCGCTGCCGTACAACGCTCCCCACTGCCCGCTGCCTCCATGCTCCCAACTGCCCCGCATGCCCTGCACGCTCCTACCCCCGCTGCATGCACGCCCCCCTCCGCGCCTGCAGCTCCCCCTGCCCTCACATGCCTGCATGCTCCGCCCCTTCCCCGCATTGCTTAACAATCGCTCCCCCCTGGCCCGCTGTCCGCATGCTTCCCCTTGCCCACTCGACCGGGCACTATGGTGGGTTCACTACTATTGCCACCACCGACTGACCGCCAACCGAATGCTCCTGCGGCCCAGTCTGACCTCATGCTCCCGCGACCCACTGACCACACACGCCCGCCAGCGCATCTCCCTTCGGCGCCAGTCGACGCCACCGCTCACCTGCGACCTACACTGACCACACACTGCCCGCCACGCGGATGCTCCTGCGGCGCAGTCTGACCTCACGCTCCCGCGACCCACTGACCACACACTGCCCGCCACGCGAGCTCCATGCGGCCCAGTCCACCTCACGCCTCCGCGAGCCTCCCACTGCCCACAGGTTATTGCGTGATGTGATTTTGGTGGTGACGCTGCCCGCCACGCGGATGCTCCTGCGGCAGCAGTCTGACCTATGCTCCCGCGACCCACTGACCACACGCCGCTCACTTAGGGAGCTCACTTCACCTGCGGGTAGGAGAACTTCATCGTCTCGGTCATCGCCTCGGCGGCGATCTGGCACGTGCGTCGCATCAGCTCGGCCTCGGCCGGCGACTTGACGAGCCGCTGCCGCTGCACGATCGGCCGGCACTGCTCGACGAACGCCTGCCGCTCCTCCATGATGAACTTGCGTATGACGTTGCTGTGCAGCGTCGGGTTCACCGGCGCCACGTAGTCGTACCAGATGCCGAAGTTGCGCGAGCCCTTCAGGTACGCCTTCAGGTACTTCTCGAGCTCGTCAAAGCTGAGCGCCTGGTCGACACCGGTGAGCGCGAGCGCGCCGTCCGTGCCCGCGCGCGCCCCGTCCCACAACTCGCGGCTCGCGTTGCGCGGCGGCACGAACAGCGTCGTGATGTTCTTCGAGCGCGTCGCCTCGATGAGCAGCACGCTGTCCGGCTCCAGGAAGCCGCACATGTACCAGAAGTCCGTGTTCTGACGAAAGACGTAAGGAATGTCGTTGGTCATGTACTGGCGCACGGCGCTCGGGATGAGCACGATGTGCCGCGTGACGGCGTCGTGCTTGCGCTGCGACCGCCGGATCACCTCCTCGATGAAACGCTGCCGCCGGTGACTGAAAGCAGCCGAGACGAGACAACGGACGTGATGCGGGGCACGACGACTCGTAATGCGCGCAGCGGGGGCATAGCGGCGCGGCGAGCATGAAATTCTGAGCGATAAGACCGCATCAAAATCCCACGAGAAGGCGATGGTTTCATTCAGAATGCAACACTTTATGAAGGCACGAACATAGTAAAAATAGCTTAAATATGGAAGAGCTTAAATGGTGTTTTACCGATAGAGATTATGTGTGTTAACTAGCATAATTTAGGTAAAGATACAAATGGAATTTTTGTACTGACATAATTTTGGTTAACGCTCATTTAACGCTAATTAACAGCAACACGAATGACTGTAATTAATATATTATACATTTCAGATCATTATTAAGGTGCAAATATTCAGATAATATATGAAAGTCACATGTAAAACTCATGAACTCATATTTCATGTGGACAAACCTGTATTCCAATCTTCCAATTCCCGGAGTGACCTCTTTGTTCTGTAAGAGATGAGGGTGCGTGTGTGGGGCCGGCTGTCCATAATATCGAGCCGTGTCTTTCTTCGGAAGCTTTGACGTGGGAACATTATCTCCAGACTTATCGTGCGCACACTGGTGATTTGTTCGATGAGTGCAGAAAGACTGTACATGCTCACACTCTGAAATTTGACAGATCTATGTCAATATAATATATGATAGGCGAGACTTACAGAAATATAAACATTACAGAAATTTATATCATATTCATAATTATACTTATAGTAACTTATTACTAGAAATAGAGAAACAGTATTTTCTCCTCGTTTGTTCTTTTTCCGTCTGGTTTGCACAAGAGTCAAAAAGCCAAACTTTGATAAATTGCTTGCAAAATTACAAACGTGAAACGATAAATGGAATACCTGTTGTTGAACTTAATGTTATGAGTAAAGTAAATTTCTTAGGCTGCACACTACCTTGCTGTTATGTTTTGTAACAACAAACAATAATATAGCTGAGAGGGTCTATGTCCCCCAGGGTACTGCCGGACCGTACCCTGGTACTATCTAATATGCCGGACCATACCTCGCCTACTCCAATAACAAGTGTAGGGAGTCGCTTACGCCTACTCCCTAACCCTAACACTAACCCTAACCATATCAAATAGTTACCAGGGACCTGGGTACGTTCCGGTATACCGGACCGTACCCAGAATACGTTCCGGCAGTACCCTGGGGAACATAGACCCTATGAGCAATATTATAGCAATATTATTGCTCGTTGGCATTGCAAAACGTTAGCAAGGTTGCGTGTGGCCTAAGAAACTTACTCTATCCATAACAACCATAACAAATGGAATACCTGTTGAGTGTTGTTCTTGATCTGGACATACATATCAAGATCAAGAATAACACTCAACAGGTATTCCATTTGGCCAACAATAACACACAGTGCATAAAATGATAAACGTGTTTAGCATGAACATAGCCATAAATAATCTAGCTCTAGTATTATAGCCCAGGTACAGTTGCCGCAGGGCTATAGAACATTCTAATACGAATGCTAGGGACCAGCCCGCTGACTGGCGCTGCTGCCAGCGCACCCAAATGGCCGTTAGAAAGTTGTAAGTCGAATGTTCTTCACAAGAAATTACTGCAAGCAGACCATTGCAACGATAGTTAGAGGGGTTTAAATTGGAGTTGGGGATATAACTTAAGACA